CAGCAGCACTCTGCCCCATTGCACAGGCTTGGGTATATAACTCCTTGTTACTCAATCCCAAATACTTTTAAGTTTCTTCTGTGTCCCGTGAGTGTTTAGGAATAAGTTGTAAAATTTCCAGATATTTTGGGGCTGGCAGTACTGGGCATCCCTCCTGGGCACCAGTTTGAGTCCCGGCTGCTCCTCTTCCAATCCAGCTCTCTGCTTTGGCCTGGGAAAGCATTGGAAGATGGTCCAGTGCTGGTTCCCTGCACCCATGTAGGAGACCTGGAAGAAGCTCCTGGCTTCAGATCTGCACAGCTCTGGCCATTGTAACCATCTGGGGAGTGAGCCAGCTGATAGAAGACCTACCTCCCCTCCTCCCCCTACAGAAAGCTCTGCCTTTCAAGTAAATAAATAAATTAATTAATTTTTTTTTAATTTCCAGATATTTGAAGATTTAAGGTGACTTCTTTTTAAAAAATTTATATCAAGATTTATTTTTTTGAAAGGCAGATTGAGAGGGAGAGAGAAAAAGAGAGATATTCCATCTCCTTGCTCACTTTTCAAATGCCTGCGAGATCCAGGACTAAGCTAGGCAGAAATCAGGAACCAGGAATTCCACGTGGGTAGCAGGAACCCCTGTGCTTGGGCTATCATCTGCTGCCTCCCAGGAACCTTAATAGGAGCTGGATCAGAAAGAGTGGCTGGGACTTGAATCACACTCCCGCACAGGAGATGGGCACCCAGCGCAGCAGCTTAGTCCACTGCATCACAACACCAACCCCTGAGTGTTTATATACTCATTTAATTTATTTGAAAGGCAGAGAGACAATGAGAGATACTGAGAAACAGAGCCATTTCCTGTCCACTGGTTCACTCCGCAAATACCTGAAACATGGGTTCCAGGCCAGGCCAAAACCATGAGCCTGGAATTCAGTCCAGGTCTCCCACGTAGGTGGGAGCCATTACCTTCTGCCTCCCCAGATGTGCAGTAGCAGGAGGCTGGGACTGGGTGTGGAGGTGGGACTTGATACGTGCTGTGGGCATCCCAAACAGCAACTTAAGTGGACTTCTGACTGAGTTATGTTCAGGAAATGATGTATGTTTTTAAATGTGTATTCATTTTTATTTATTTGAAAGTAAAGTGACAGAGATCTTCCATCTGCTGGTTCATTCCCCAAATGCTGGGGCAAGGCCAGACTGAAGCCAGGAGCCCAAAACTCCAGCCGGGGGTGTCGCAGCCTCCAGCAGTCACTCCCTGTTCTGTAGGTGTTACTCTGAGTTGGCTGGAGAGAAAAGAGGGTCTGTCCAGTTTGACTGAGAGTTTGCTCAGGTACTCCGTCCTTTTGCTCCAACCTTGATGTCCTTCTGGTTTAGGACTGAAATAGCTTCTGTCCAGTAGTCCATTTACACTTGGAATTCATTTCTTTACAGTGTCTTGTGTTTTATCCACCTTGCTTTCTTATTGTTTCTCCTTTACTTCTCTTGCCTCCTCTTCTGTTTCCTTGTTTCCTCTCTTTAATAATCAGTAATACGGCCGGCGCCGTGGCTCAACAGGCTAATCCTCAGCTTTGCAGCACCAGCACACCGGGTTCTAGTCGCGGTCGGGGCGCCGGATTCTGTCCCGGTTGCCCCTCTTCCAGGCCAGCTCTCTGCTGTGGCCAGGAAGTGCAGTGGAGGATGGCCCAAGTACTTGGGCCCTTCACCCCATGGGAGACCAGGAGAAGCACCTGGCTCCTGCCATCGGATCAGCGTGGTGCGCCGGCCGCAGCGCACCAGCTGCGGCGGCCATTGGAGGGTGAACCAACGGCAAAGGAAGACCTTTCTCTCTGTCTCTCTCTGTCCACTCTGCCTGTCCAAAAAAAAAAAAAAAAAAAAAGGTAATACAATATAATGTCATCCATAAATAACAATGTGTATTATAATGAATAACGCTTCATCCAAGATTTAAACCATTGCCATTAACTCCATGGGACTTTAGTTTGAAAGTTGAAAATGTTCTTTCCTAGATTACTTTAACTTTTTTATCACTTTTTCTCAACAAGAACTAAAATTAATCCCTGTGGGAAAAGGGAATTGAAAGATAATGCATGGGATGGACATTGGTCACACTGTTAGCATTACTTGGGACTGTGTCCTATGTCAGAACACCCAGGTTCAAGTCCTGACTTCCCCTCCCAGCTTCCTGCTCATGCCCACCCTGGGGGCAGGTGATGGCTGAGGGGGTGGGTCCCTGCCACCTGCATAGAGACCAGGATTGAGTTCCTGGCTCCCCGCAGCAGCTGTTGCAGGCATTTGAGAAGTGAGCCAGCAGATGAAAGGTCCCTCCCTCCCTCCCTCCCTCTCTCTCTCTCTGCCATTCAAAGAAAAAAAAAGATACGGAGGCAAGTATTCTTGAAAATTAAAAAAAAAATGCAGTGTATGTACGTTGCTGCCTGTGTTTTAATTGTCAGCGATGAGCTGGTGACAGGGAGGAAGGCGTGTTAGCCCCTGCTCCTGGTATACCTTCTGTTGAGGGTGTGGTCCTTGAACATCATCCCTTCGGGGTGGGGGGAGGGCATATCTGTTCCAGCATTTTACCTGGAGCAGGCCCAAAGCTTACTAATAGACTGAAATGTCACAGAGTGGAATAGCCATAGAGCTCACACTTTTTTAAAAATTGATTTATTTGAAAGGCAGAGTTAGAGAGGAGGAAAGACAGGCGAGTGCCCATCCCCTGGTTCACTCCCCAAATGGCTGCAATGGCCAGGGCTGGGCCAGGCTGAAGCCAGGTTTCCCATGTGAGTGCAGGGACCAAGGACTAAGGCCATCTTCCACTGCTTTCCCAGGCCAGCAGGGAGCTGGATCAGAAGTGGAGCAGCCAGGACTCAAACCGGTACATCTGGTGACTTAGCCTGCTATGGTTCACATTTCAGCTAGTCTCCATGCTAATGCTTGCTTAGAAGAAATGCATGCTGGGATGTTTTGTATACAAATTCAGCACTTAATTTCATAGTATCTTTTGTTAACTGGTTTTTTAACCTACTCTGTCTCCTGCAACCCCAGCACTTCATAGCCTTAGGGAGGGTCCTTGACTGTGGACCTGGTGGTGCCTGCCGCCTCATCTCCCTCTCTGCCTTGCCGAGCCCTAAAAAGCAATGACACTACCTCCTCACCACAGAAAAACAGCTCGGAGGGTGCTGGAGCGGCTCCCGACTGGACTGAGCACTGCCCGGTCCTCCCACTCCCCGCGACAGCAGCGGTGTCCCCTGCCTGCAGTGGCTTCTGCCCCCAGGTGGTATCAGGAGGCGCCAGGCTGCTGGCAGCCTTCTGCTCTGCCCTCACCTCCACCTGCCCCTCCAGGCAGCTTCCAACTCCTGATTCTCTGTGTCTGTCTCCTTAAGCCTCCTCCTCTTGCTCACTCAGGCCCAGTACCTCTGGCCATTCTTTTATGGGCAGCAAGGGGCTTCTCGGTGCTACCTTCCAAAGAGATACCTCCCTGACCACTTCCTTTGTCCACTGCTGCCCACCATAAGGTGAGCCTTTGGCATCTTCAGACAGAATAACTGTGTCGTGTCCACTCTTCATATACGTCAGTGTTCCACCAGAACACACACCTGGTTGTGCCTTGTGCTAGCCAGGTGCCCCCCAGCCCCATGTCACGGCTGCAGACTGCGCTGGCTCTGCCCCCTCCCGCCCTCCCGGCTCCTGGAATGGTTTCCTGAGGCCTGGTCCCGTCCCCAGGTGTCCGCAGCAGGCTGCCGTACTGGAGCCTCCTCTGGGCCACTTCATCACAGGGGTCGCCGGCTCTGTGCACATCGCTTCCCTGGCCCTGCACCCTAACAGTGGACGCCGCGGTGCGGGGCCGCGGGCGCTCGCGCCGGTGGTTGGGGGCGGGGGGAGGCAGCCCCTCTCGCCCAGCAGTTTGCCCTTCGGAGGGGTGCGGGCGAGCCGAGGGGGTAGCGGGGCGGCGCGGGAAGCGGGGACTGCGGGCCGGGGCTGCAAACTTCGAGGCCCGAGGTGCGCGCCCACCGGAGGCGCGGCCGCCCGAGGTCCCGACGCCCCGCCGGCCAGGCCGCACAACTTTGCGAGCGGGGCAGGACTCCGGGGGCGCCGGGGCGCGGGGCGGGGCGGCTGACGTGTCCCGGCGGGATTGGAGCCGCCGCCCCATATAGCAGCGCCCGGCGCCGCCGCCCGCGTCCCGGCTTCTCCCGCGCGGCGGGCGAGCGAGCGAGCGGACGGACAGACAGGCGGACACGGTGAGCTGGCGGGGCTGGCGGGGCTGGCGGGTCGGGCCGGGCCGGGTCGGGCCGGGTCGGGCCGGCCAGGCCAGGCCAGGCCAGGGCTCGGGGCTGCCAACGTGGAGGCGGCGGGGCCGGCGCGGCTGGTCCGCACTCAGGGCGGCGCTCGGGCGCCCCCTGTCCCGGCGCGGCGGCCGCGGCCGGCTACGTGTCAACGTCGCGAGGGGCCGCCGGCCCGCAAACTTTCCCGAGCCCGCGCCGTCCTCCCGCGCCTGCGGGCTCCACGCGGCGACCCGGGCCGCGGCCGCACGGGGGAGGGGCGGCCGACCTGGGCCCAGGTCGGTGACGTTGGCGAGGCCTCCTCCCCTCCCCCTCCGCCCCGGACGCCCCTCCCCCGCCCGCGCCCGCTGGCGGGGCCGGCGGTGCCCCGGCCGGGGTCTCCTGCGGGCGGCAGGCGTGCGGGGCCGGGCTGCAGCGCCCCCTGCCCCTTCGTCCCGCGAAGTGGTGGGGGGCCGGCCGGCCCGAGGGCCACTTGGACGGGCCCCAGGGGCGCGGAGGCCACGGCTCTACGGAAAAATACCGCGTCTGGAGGCGGCGCTGCGGTCCCTTTAAGCGCGTCCCCGCCCGCGGCGCCGGGCTGCTGAGGTGGCGCCTGCGAAGTTCCTGCGCCGGCCTGGCCGCGGGGACGCCCGCCGCCGCCGCTGCCCCGCCTTCCGAGGTGGGTCGGGGGTCTCGGAAGTTGCGGAGGAAAGTTCTCTGCGAGGCTCCCGTGAGCACGGAGCGAGGCGGAGTGGGGTCTGTGGCGGGCCCTGCGTCCGGCCCCGGCGCGGCGAGGCTCCGGCGACGCGGGGCGCTGGTTGCGGTTGGGTGCGTGGACGGAGGGTGCACCGCCCAGCCGGGCTCGCGGGGCGGGAGACTGTCCGCGGCCGGAGGGGCCTGGGAGTCGCGGGTTTTGCCCTGCCTTGAGGCCGGCTCTGGACGGCCGTGCACTGTCCCCGCTGGTGCCGAGGACTGGACCGGCGTGATCCTGAGAGCCGGGTCCCAACCGCGCTTCGGGAGCCGGGCCTGGCGCCCCAGGCCCCCCGGGAGCTCCGAGGTGGGGACTCGGAAGAGGGCCAAGACCCGCGTCTTGTAGCATCTCAGCCAAGGTGGGTTCTCTAAAGCTGGGGTATTGAGTTGTCAGGAGGAGAGGACTGGGGGCTCCCGTCCCAGAACCCCAGGTTTACTTGTGGTGGCTCCTTGCGCGCTATAAGGAATGTGCTTTGAGTTCTGGGGGATGGGGTCCCGAGCAATGTGGCATGCTGGGGCAGTGGTTCCGGAGGTGTGCCAGCCCTCAGAGGTGAGAGCACACGCACCCGTCCTGGGGTGCAGGGGGACTGGCCAGCCAGAGCTCAGGGGCAGGCCGGGGGTGTGGTTGAGGCCACTCTTGGGGGTGTGCAAGTCCTGATTTTGGGAAGTGACATTCAGACAAGAAAGGCGTCAGCCTGGCGGCTCCTGAGGGGTGGGTAGGTGCAGGAGGCCCCATCCTGCTCCCAGACTGGCTGTGCACCGGCTGCCACGACATTGGTCGCGCAGAGCTGGGCTTCCCTCCTAGCCTTGCTCTGCAGTTTGCAGATTAGAACTTGTTGGTGAGGACAGTAAATAAATATTCCTAGTCCTGGGTCCCCCCTTCCCTCCGGCCTCAGGGCACAGCTGGGGCCGCGCAGTAGTTCTGGCCTCTGGCTGAGTAGTGGTTCCCCACCAGACTGGAGCTTTTAAAAAACGCCTGCCAAGGCTGAAATCCTGGAGTGCTGCCAGCCCACAAACTGTGCAAGGGAGAGGCCCTTGTAGTCCAGGGTCTGTGGATGCCACAGCCTGCCTCCCAGCTCCTGGGCACATCACCCTGCTTGGGTGGGGTGGCCCACTGTCACGACATCCACTTTTCTCTGGTTTAGGGGCACAGTTGGCCTGCCGTGTCGGTCCTACCTGTCTGGGTGACCCACACCCTTCTGCTTCACAGAGTGGCTCTTGGTCCTCCGTAGACAGCCTCTGAAGGTTCCTTTCAATCCCACGGTTTCTTAAAATTTCCTTACTTATCTGAAGGGCAGAGAGATCAAGAGCGCGCTCCTGTCCTCTGGTTCACTCCCCAAAGGCTGCAACAACCAGGCCGGGCCAGGCCAAAGCCAGGAGCCTGAAACTCCATCCAGGTGTCCCACATCGGTGGCAGGGGCCCAAGGTCTTAAGCCATCCCCCACTGTTTTCACAGGCACATTAGTAGGGAGCTGGATGAGAAGTAGAGCAGCTGGGGCTAGAATTGTGGTTCTGATACGGTGCTGGCACCGCAACGCCAGCCCCAAACTCACTAGTTTTTGACCTGGTTTCCAAATCCCTGGTGGATTAGAAGGGACTGAAGGACTTCTCCAGGATAATGAGCAGGAAGTGACCCTAGTGAGCTCCAGAGCCCCTGGCCACAGCTGCCTGCAGGTCACGTGGGGGCCAGGGGACTGGAGCACGCCGCACCCCCTCCGTCTTGTGTGGATCTTGCTTCCTGGTAGCAGTTAAGGTGTGGCTCCTGCAAGTCCTCTGAGAGTTTAGGACGGTTCCAGCTTTCCTGTAACCTACTTTGTTGGAAGCTCATGGCCACAGAGCAGAGTTTACCCTGGAGACTGGAGTTTTTCTGGTTGGGAGGTATAAGATATGTTGAAGAACTTTCTCTGATTTTCCCCTGTGTTCTCTCCCGGCCCATCCAACACAGCGAAAGCTGGCAGGCTGACAGGCGCCTCAGGACGGACTTCCTGGCTACCGACCGTTTTGCTGGTGAGTTTGTGCATCTGAGGGCTGTCCCTGCAGCCTCAAGCCCCGCCTGGCACAGGCGTCTGTAGACATGTGCCCGTCGGCTGTCACCTGGCTACCGTCTGTTCAGTCTTTTCTTCTTAAATGTGAATTAGTTTTTTCAGGAGTTCAGAGCTTGATTTTCTTGAATTCAGGGAGAGATCTTATTGTGTCATAAAAATTACACAAAAACATTCTCCTTTATGTTAAGTGACTCTTATATATTTTGCCAAGATAGTACAGATACCTGCTTGCTGTGAGAAATTGTCTGGAGAAAGTGAGTTCTCTCTCCCTGTAGTCGTGTGGGGACCGCCTGGAAATGGGGGTGCACCCCGCCTCCCTGCTGACTGCGCTGCTGCAGGCAGGAGAGCTCCTCGCCCACAGAGCCCTGCAGCTGTGCAGGCCTTGTCTGTGGGCTGCAAGTCCCCGGCCACACCTGGGGGGCGCGGGGGGGAGTAGATGAGCAGGTTTCAGGCGCGGAACCCCCTGGGTTGTGAGATACTGGTGGGCTTTATGTAGGCACCGTCAGGTGGTCCGTTTTTAAAGCATCTGGGGCGTGAGGTAAGATGACTTGAGGCAGCAGTTACCATGATCCTGATGTTGCTCTGGGAGGTGCTGGGCCAGGCTGGATGGGCTGTAACCCTGTAACCCCTGGACGTCCTGGCTTCCCCAGTGACAGGAGCCTTGGGGAGGGCCGTTGGCCAGCTGTCCTAAGACCCTCTTTTACTTGCAATTTTTTTTCCCTTTTCATCCTTTGCTGAGCGTTTGGACATCAGCTTTCCTGACGTGTTCAGCTGGTGAAAAAATAAAACCTTTGGCTTTAAAAAGTATGCAAAAACATTCTCCTTTACCTTAAGTTACTCATGTTTTGCTAAGATGGCATAGATAGCCGCTTGCTGAAGCTGAGGCTGGTGGTCTAAGGAGAGTTGAGTTGACTGTGTGCTGAACTTGTTCCTCTGCTTCCTTCCGTGCTGCAGTCACTGACCTGGACTGTGCGTGGGCAGGAGACCAGCCATGAGCTCCGTCGCAGTTCTGACCCAGGAGAGCTTTGCCGAACACCGAAGTGGGCTGGTTCCGCAGCAGATCAAAGGTGACCCCTTCCCCCCACCCACGCTTGCTCTCTGTCTCATGGCCTAGGGTGCAGTGGGAGCACCTATGACAAGGTTGAACTTCCGTGGGGGAGATTCAGAAACAGTGCAGGCCTTGGTGAGAAATGCCTGTCGAGCTCACCGCTGCACTGGGAAGCCTGCTGGAGCAGAGGGACCAGGCTGGACATCCGTGCCCTCCGCAGCAGCTGGACAGGACTCAGAGCAGCAAATGGCATTTCAGGTGTTCTGATATGCACAATACGTAAAAGGGAGCAGGCAGAAACTAATTTCAAGACATTTTATCTAATCCAGTGTGCCCAAGACATCAGTGTTTCTATATACATTTAATGTGTTTTAAAAAAAATAAACCTACAGTATTTCAATATTTCACTTTTTCCTTCAAAGTCTGATGTATGTTTACAGCTATAGGAGATTTTATTTGAATCCTTAATTTTCATCTAAACTTCTTGGTCCCAAGTACCTGGGGGCCTAGGGTCTTCTGCCCGGTGAGGTCTGAGAGAATCCAGCCACTGTTCACAGCAGCCACATCTGGGGTGGTGTGGCCCTGTGTCCCGTGGTGAACCTGGACTCAGACATAGCCTGCTTGATTCCGAAGGTCACCTCCCCACACCACACCTCGTGCCCAGGGTTCAGGTGTTGTGATTGGGCCTTGGTGTTGGTGGACTTGGCCCAGCCCTGGGGATCGGGTGTTCTCCCAGCCAGCCGTGCCCTTTCTCATGAGTCGTAGTTAGTGGGACAAAATCGTGGGCAAGTAGGGCACGATGGAAGACAGAAATGATTAGTAATTAGGGGACCTGATTTCCACAGCCTCGCTGCTGGGGGAGGGAGAAGGGGCGGCTTGCACAGCTGTTACTGCAGCGTTGCCTGCTGCAGTGCAGAGTTAGCTGCAGTTTGCCTCAGAGGCAGCTGCCCAGACAGTTCCAGGTAGCACCATCGTTGTATTTTACAAATTAATTTTTTAAAGATACTTATTTATTCTAAAGGCAGAGTGGCCGAGAGAGGGGGGGAGACAGAGAAAGAGTTCTTCCATCTGCTGATTGACTCTCCAAATGGCTTCAACAGCCAGGGCTGGGCCAGGCTGATGCCAAGAGCCCAGAACTCTATCCAGGTCTCCCACATGGGTGGCGGGGAACCAGGAACTTGCCATCTTCCCCTGCCTTCCCAGGTGCATCAGCAGGGAGCTGGATCAGAAGTGGAGCAGGTGCGATTCGAAGTGGCAGAGTATTAAGGCTCTTTAGGCCTTAATCTCTGTGCGGGGCTTGCCTCCAACGGCTCAGCCCAGCAGGGCAGTGGGGTTCACAGTGAGCTAAGCCCGGCCACAGGCAGGCCATGCAGGAGGAGGTGCGACTGTGAGGGCTGGGAAGCCCCTGGCCTCTCCAGTTCAGTGCAGAAAGGCACTATTGGGCCTTCCCTATCACTATGAATGAGAAAGAAAGGCGGGGCTTTGTTTATGATCACTTAATTATTTTAAAGGCAGAGTTAGAAGGGAGAGAGAGATCTGGTGTTTCACTCTCCAAATGGCTGCGATGGCCAGGACTGGGTTGGGCCAAAGCCAGGAGCTTCTTCCAGGTCTCCCATGTAGGTGCAGAGGCCCAAGCACTTGTGCCGTTCTCCACCACTTTCCCAGGTGCATTAGCAAGGAGCTAGGTCAGAAGTGGAACGTCTGGGACTGGAGTCAACCCGTCTGTCTGTTTCTTATTGAATCTCTTGAAGTATTTTTTGTCATATAATGCTGAGAGTGCTGTTGTCCTCTTATTCCATGCCACGGGACCAGTTGCCACTTTAAATTCAGAAGAGGAGAGCGACCCTCCAACCTACAAGGATGCCTTCCCTCCACTTCCCGAGAAAGCAGCGTGCTTGGATGGTGCCCAGGAGCCTGCAGGAGCATGGAGTAACAAGATCCGGCCCATCAAGGCCTCTGTTATCACTCAGGTAGAGAGGCCTTTTCCTCCTAGTCCACCTCCCAGTCAGTGGCCGCAGGGTCTGGTCTTCTGGTCAGGAAGATTTTTGAATGTGCAAAATGAAGAGTTTTGGGTAAGGAAAGGACTGACGGGTGTTTCAGATTAGATCAGCCCCTGCCTGCCCCCGTGCTCAGCCTGCGTCCTGAGGAGGCCTGCACAGGAGTGGGTCCTGTGTCTAATCCCTGTTCACAGCTGCTGCCCTGCCCTCGCTCTCCATCCCCCTGCATGCATCAGGAACTGGGAAGCCTTGAAGCAGTTCCATGCTTGTTCCCTCTGCTGTTGGGATTGGAAGTGTTGGCGTGAGCACCTGTGTGGCTGTGGTGGAAAATGGCCATCCATGCACCTACCAGTCCTCTTCCCTTAGCTCTGGGCTCATGGTGCCACACTTGGTCTTGCACTGCTCACCTGGCACCTAGTTGATTATGTTAAAAGTACCCTGTCCTACTTGGTGGTTTCTGCCCTGAACCAGGTAGCGGCTTGGTCTGGCTCCTGCCCTGGACATCTCCTACATTCCTCATGAGATAGCCGAGTGGCCCTGAGGCTCCCAAAACCTCACACTGACCCTTACCACAGGGTGGCCTGGGTGTCACCCCAGAATCCACCTCCCTTGCCTCTGCTCTTTCCCCACACCGCCAGGCGCAGGTGTCTCCGCCACGCTCGTGATCTGCATCCACCCAGACTCCCTGTTTGCCTGCTGCTGCCCCCTGTTCCCTGGGTAGTGGGCCTCCTGACCTCAGCCCCGCCCCTTTCTGCTCTGCCCTGGGGTTGGGGTGGGGGCTGGGCGTGGGGCAGAGCACCTGTTGATGAGCTTCCCTGGTTGTTGGTCTTCGCTGAGCAGGTATTCCATGTCCCCCTGGAGGAGAGGAAATACAAGGACATGAACCAGTTTGGTGAAGGTGAGCAAGCCAAGATCTGCCTGGAGATCATGCAGAGGACCGGGGCTCACTTGGAGCTCTCTCTGGCCAAAGACCAAGGCCTGTCCATCATGGTCTCGGGGAAGCTGGACGCTGTCATGAAAGCTCGAAAGGACATTGTCGCCAGACTGCAGACCCAGGTGGGTGTCCCCTCCTCCATCGAGGGGTGGCCGAGCTGTGTGAGGGCAGCAGCATTCAGATCCTCTGACCGTTTTAGCGGTGGGATGAGTGGGAACTGCACACGAAAGACCTGTCCCACGGCTGGAGCCGCTTACAAGGCTCTGGGCTGGCTGGGCCCTGGCACACGGCCATGGTTTCCAGCCTGCGACGCACACGTGCAGTTCAGCACCTGCTTCCAGATCATGAGTTCAAGTTAGGTTTGGGTAGACCAGCGCCCTCAGCCTTTGCAGTCCGAGGCTGCCACCTGGAAAGTATGAGAGCCACTGTAGTGAATCAGTAAATCTGCCGTACATGTGCCCAGTGGACACATGGAGAGGGCCGGTGCTGTGGTACAGTGGGTTAAAGCACCGGCTTCCCATATGGGCACCACTCATGTCCCGGCTGTGCCACTTCCCATCCAGCTCCCTGCTAATGTGCCTGGGAAAGCAGCTGAGGATGGTCACATGGTCCCCTGCACCCATATGGGAGACCCAGAAGCAGCTTCTGGCTCCTGTCTTTGGCCTGGCCCAGCCTGGTCTTTGCAGCCATCTGAGAAGTGAACCGGCAGGTGGAAGAGCCCTCTCTGTCTTTCCTTCTCTCTGTCAAGTAAATAAATCCTTTTTTAAAAAAGAAAAGAAAAACATGGAGACTCTCACTAGAATACTATAGGACAGCTGTCATCCTGCGTGGGTCTCTGTGGAAATGCCCTCCCACCTGCCACCAGGCTCTGAGCTCCAGCAGGAGCCCGTGCTGGCCTACGGGGCAGGCCTAGAGCTGAGGTCCGCTTGTGACAGGCAGCCTGAGGACAGTCCAGACCCCTGCTAGCTTCATGGGGTTGAACCTGTAGATGTCAGGAACCAACAGATGTTGCCCATGGGTCTTTGCTGCCAGTGAGCCTCTGCTGTGACTGAAGGGACTCGGGTCATGCGTGCGTCACAGGGAGGCCTTCATCCCCCGCCCTTCTGTTGGTTTGGGGGCTTTTTTTGTTTTGTTTTTTTCCTAAGAGAGAAAGGATTATTTTTTTCTTCATAAATATTTATTGGGGCCGGCGCTATAGCATGGCAGGTAAAGCCGCCATAGTGCCGCCCTCAGTGCCGGCATCCCATGTGGGCATTCCTGGCTGTTCCACTCCTGATCCAGCTCTCTGCTATAGCCTAGGAAAGCAGTAGAAGATGGCCCAAGTTCTTGGGCTCCTGCACCTGCGAGGGAAAACCTGGAGGAGGCTCCTGGCCTCAGATCGGCACAGCCCCGGCTGTTGCAGCCAATTGGGGAGTGAACTTCTGCCTCTCCTCTCTGTGTAGCTCTGACTTTCAAATAGATAAATAAATCTTTTAAAAAAAAAATGTTATTCATTTGAAAGGCAGAGCAGTAGAGAGAGCTGGCACTTCTGTCTGCTGGTTCACTCCCCAAGTAGCCACAACAGCCAAGGCTGGGTCAGGCTGAATCCAGGAGCCAGGAACTCCATCCTGGTCTCTGTGTACCTGAGCCATCTGCCACTGCCTTCCCAGGAGCATTAGCAGGGGGCTGGATCGGAAGAGCAACAAGGGCTCATCCTGTGCTCTGATGTGGGATGCTGGCATCGCAAGTGGCAGCTTGACCCACTGTGCCACTGTGCTGGCCCCTGTCCCCATTAGTTTACAGGAAATCACAGATAGTGTTTCACTGTCAAGACCTCCGGGAGGCCTCTCCTGTAGTATGAGGGTCTTCGAAAAGTTTGTGGAAAATGCATCATGAGAACTCGCGGTTTGGACTTCACCACAAACCTTTTGAAGTGCTTTCTTATCTATGTTGTGTATGTATTTCTATTAGCTATCATGCCATTAACTCAGTAAAATTAGTTTTTCAGTGTCCCGCCCAGGCTCTGCCCAGCCTGTCTAGACTTCTCGAGGCCTCACACCCATCTTTCCCAGCTGGCTCATTCACACGTCACTGTCCGTCCCTCAGAGCCTGTTCACCGTGGTCGCCAGTCTCTCGAGGCTGTCAGCATGTTGGGGAGGACGGGTGTCAGGCACGCTCTGCTGTCTCATTGCCTCCTGGGAGCCAACACAGGACCCTGGTGCTGTTGTTCCTGGTCACCTTGGTGTTTGCCAGGAACACTGTCGGCGGCGCTGTGCTCACGGTGTTGGATCTGGGGGTTGTGCATGTACTGATTCAGAGACGGATGCCTACACTGGGGGTGGCTGTGGCCTGGTGTGTCCTTTAGAAAGGTTCCTTCGCCAGGTGTCCACGGCCATGGCTGCCTTCCTGTGTTTGAGGTGGCTCTTGAGGGTTTCCTGATGCTACGCTCCTCAGGTTAGTGGCCCTGCTGTGAGCAGACCGCCTGCGTCCACCGACAGAGCCTTCACTCCCCAGTGCTGGGCCAGATTGGAGCCCTGGCGTCTTCAGTGGTGGCAGAGTGTTTAGTGTTGTTTTGAACCTGGGAATTTGGTGTTTCCTTCACAGTTGTTCTCGCCCAGGGTTTTCCCTGCAGCTTTCTATCACTGCCCACGCACCTGAGCCGCCCCTGGACCTCCCACACAGGAGAGGGGACTTGAGTGTCACGTGTTTACTCCCCAGAGACCTGTTGAGCAGGAAATGGCACCTGGGGGCTCCTGCCACTCAGTGGGAGCCTGTTACAGCCAGGACACCGGGAACGCCCTCTAGTCGCTACTTCTGATGAAGACGGGCGGTGGTAGGGGGTTTAGGTCAAAGCAGTTTGTTCTTCTGGGTTATTTGGTCATCTTGACATTGAGTTATGTTCATTTATTTCCCTTTATTTTCAACTTTTAAAACTTTGCCAACATTTGTGTGGTGGTGAAGTCGGAGCTGCAAGGAAAGGGGCACTCGGAGCTGCGCCCTTGCTGCCTGTACCCCCACACCCAGGGTCTCCTCTGCTCATGCTGCCCCGCCTCCCGGGGTCCCCTCTCCCCCGCCCCCACACCCGGGGTCCTCTCTGCCCCTGTCCCCCATTCTTGAACCAGAGACGGCTTGCTGTGAGAGCTGCTCCGCCCCCTGCACATCCCCTTTGTCTCTGGGGGAGTTGGTTGGTGGGCATCTGGGCAGCTACCAGAACCTTCTGTTGTAATCATGGCACAGTGAGGGCATGTGCCCTGCCGGCTGAGCAGGTGAGCATGTGTGACTTGGCTGTAGCCATACTCCCCTCTGGAGGAGTGACGCATTGCCTGCTCGCATCCGTGGTGTGCAGGAGCCAGGCGCATTGTTGGGTTCTTCAGCACGCAGATGGAGCTGAATATACTTCCTTTTTTTTTTTTTTTTTTTTTTTTTTTTTTTTTTTTTTTTTTTTTTTGACAGGCAGAGTGGACAGTGAGAGAGACAGAGAGAAAGGTCTTCCTTTTGCCGTTGGTTCACCCTCCAATGGCCGCCGCAACCGGCGCACTGCACTGATCCGAAGCCAGGAGCCAGGTGCTTTCCCTGGTCTCCCATGGGGTGCAGGGCCCAAGCACTTGGGCCATCCTCCACTGCACTCCCGGGCCACAGCAGAGAGCTGGCCTGGAAGAGGGGCAACCGGGACAGGATCCGGCGCCCCGACCGGGACTAGAACCCGGTGTGCCGGCGCTGCAAGGCGGAGGATTAGCCTAGTGAGCCGCGGCGCCGGCCCCTGAATACACTTCTAATTTGCATTTTTCTGATAAAGAAGGTTGTGTTTCTCAGCATGAGGCCAGTAATTTTCTCTGTGAACTGAGTGTTCTTTTGCCCATCTTTTTATCAAGTTGTTCATCTTGCTCAATTTTCAGGAGTTCAGTATAACGACTAGGACTTGTTAAAAAAAGCCACCGTAAAAGTTAGAAATACGTTTCCCAACTTTTCATTTGATTTGATTTTTGTGAAAGTTTACTCTTATGTAGCGTCTCTGATTTTTTTTTTTTTTTTTTTTTTTTTTTTTATTGTGTTGGGTCATTGTCAGTTTTTTCCCACTTCTGTTTTAGGAAGTTGGTTGGTGTTTTCCTCTGGTGCTGTCACAGTGGGTCAAGGCTCTGATCCCGTCCCCACCTCCATGTGTCAGCCCCATTGGTGTGCTGCCGGCCTTGCATCTCTGTGCCTGTGGCTGGCTTCTGGCTGCTGACCACTGGTGTGTGTCTGCCTGCCTGCCTCATGGCAGTGGTTCCATGTTCTCACGCCTGTTCCTGCTGATGGCACCTCTGTTCCTCTCCTCCCCCTCCCTTCCCTGCCTCTCCCCTCCTCCCCTCTCCTCCCCCTCTTCTCCTCTCCCTGCCTCTCCCTTCCTCCCCTCCCTGCCTCTCTCCTCCTCCCCTCCCCTCCTCTCCTCCTCTACCCTTCTACTCCACTACTCCATGTCATCCCTTTTTGGGTCTCTCCTGTCTGTTATTTTCTTGTTTGTTAGCCCATGAAAACTTTATGATCAACTTCTTGTTCAAAATTTTATTAATTTTTAAAAATTAGCCTTGGCAAAGTTGACCTGTTGATTTCCGCCATCTTTTGTCTGTTACGGGACATTCTCTGCTTTTCTCTTTGTTTTTTTTGTTTGTTTGTTTTTTTGGTTTTTTGGTTTTTTTTTAAGATTTATTTATTTATTTGAAAGTTTGAGTTATACGGAGAGAGACTAGAGAGGCAGAGAGAGAGAGAGAGAGAGAGAGGGGTAGAGAGGTCTTCCATCCCCGATTGGCCACAACAGCCAGAGATGTGCCAATCCGAAGCCAGGAGCCAGGAGCCAGGAGCTTCCTCCGGGTCTCCCACATGGGTGCAGGGGCCCAAGGACTTGGGGCATCTTCTACTGCTTTCCCAGGTCATAACAGAGAGCTGGATTGGAAGTGGAGCAGCTGGGACTCGAACCAGTGCTCATATGGGATGCTGGTGCTTCAGGCCAGGGCATTAACCCACTGCACCACAGCACCGGCCCCTCTGCTTTACTCTTCTTATAAATTTTTCTCACTTGAGTGGCTGAGAGGACATACACCTATCCAGAGACAGACAGATGGACAGCGAGCTCCCATCCACTGGTTCACTCCCCAGAAGTCAGTGATGGTCAAGGGGCCAGAGCCAGGAGCTTAATCCAGGCTTCCCACAGGTGTGGCAGAAGTCTAATTTCTTGAGCCATCACCTGCTGTCTCCCAGGGTGCTCTCTGGCAGGAAGCTGGAGTCAGGAGTCAGGAATCAGAGCTGAGAATGGAACCTGGACACTGTGATGTGGGACCCAGGCACCTTAACTCTAGGCCAAACATCTGCTTTGCGTGTTCTCACTGCAAATGCACCTTTTCCGCCTTCTTCAGGGCTTGTGTGGAGCTGGGTCCTTTCCTTTTCCTACTGGAAATGTGTCTTTTAACTGGGTGGTTTTTTCATAAATTGAGGCCATCAGCTTCTTGATTGTCATTTTTTTTCCCTCTGTCACAAACAGCAAGAATTTAATAAACCATAGTTTCCCATGGTCTCTGGAGGTGCATTCGTACACCTCGTCTGGGCAGCCTTTGGGGCTGCTTGGTTTTCTGTGCCTCCCTGAGTGGTGGTGGTGAGTAGCAGTGTGACCCTGTGACCCACTGGAGCGTCCCTTACTCTGGTTCTGGGCAGGCCTCCCAGTGTCCTCTTGAAGCTCACACTGTCCCTGTGTCCCGACACGAGCCTGAGGTTCAGGCAGAAACGCGTGGGCGGTGCTGCAGGCAGTGCTGTGGGAAGGCAGGCTTTTCCAGAATCTCAGGGGCTTGTGTTTTCTTCTGTTCTCTCGTTCTAGGCCTCAGCAACCGTTACCATCCCTAAAGAACACCATCGCTTTGTTATTGGCAAAAATGGAGAGAAATTGCAAGACCTGGAGCTAAAAACTGCAACCAAAATCCAGATCCCACGCCCTGATGACCCCAGCAATCAGATCAAGATCACTGGCACCAAAGAGGGCATTGAGAAGGCCCGCCATGAAGTCCTGCTCATCTCTGCCGAGCAGGTGAGATCCACACGAATGCCCACCTGCTCGGCCCAGATCCTCACCTGGGCCAGCCCTGTGTGCGCGAAGAGCTCTAGGCCGTGCCTCAGCCCTGCCTTCCCTTCCCAGGACAAGCGCGCAGTGGAGAGGCTGGAGGTGGAAAAGGCCTTTCACCCCTTCATTGCCGGGCCCTACAACAGACTGGTGGGCGAGATCATGCAGGAGACGGGCACACGCATCAACATCCCTCCACCCAGCGTCAACCGCTCCGAGATTGTCTTCACTGGGGAGAAGGAGCAGTTGGCCCAAGCTGTGGCTCGCATCCGGAAGATTTATGAGGAAAAGGTGGGCAGCTTGTAGGAGGCAGGTGTCTTGGCAGCAGTGGACACAGGTTGGCTTGGGGAAGGGCTGAAGGCCCAGCTCTGCACTTGGGAGCCCGGGCCCAGGGTGAGGGCTCAGCTCGGAGCTCTTCCCAGCATTGCCTGATGTGTTAGCTCCACTTGGGCATCCTGCAGATCTGGAACTCATTCCTTAACTTGTGGGAAAGACTTGGTGTTTTCAGATCTCCAGGTTGAAGGTGCCCAACTCGGGGTGATGAGACTGATGTCCTGCAAAGGGGAGTCTCTAGGACCCCATCTGGTCGTGAGCCTCACCTGCTGGGGGTCAGCACGTGGGTGGGTCCTCTGCGGCTCACACCCCCTCCACTGGCAGTGATGTGCCACCCACTGTGCTTTCCCGAGACTGCCCTTAGCCATTAGTTTTTACTTCTTTGAGAGGCAGAGAGAGACAGAGAACCATTTCCTGGTTCACTCCCCAAATGCCTACAGTGGCCAAGGCCAGGCCCAGCTGACTCCAGGAGCAGGGAATTCAATCCAGGGCTCCCATGCGGGTGGCAGGGACCCAAACAACTAGAGCCACCACCTGCTGCCTCCCAGGGTGTGCACCAGCAGAAAGCTGGAATCGGGGGAGGAGCCAAGACTCAAACCCAGGCCCTCCAATGTGGGGTGACAGCACCCCAGACCTAGGCTGAGCGCCACCTCCACTCCTGTTGCTTAGAAAAAGAAGACCACAACCATCGCGGTGGAGGTAAAAAAGTCGCAGCACAAGTACGTCATCGGCCCGAAGGGCAACTCGCTGCAGGAGATCCTGGAGAGAACTGGAGTTTCTGTCGAGATCCCCCCTTCAGACAGCGTCTCCGAGACGGTGATTCTTCGCGGCGAGCCTGAGAAGTTGGGGCAGGCGCTGACAGAAGTGTATGCCAAGGTGACCGCCCCCGTGGAAGCTGTCCTGGGCCGAGTGTGGGGAGAGGGGCCCGGGTTTAGGATACCTGCCCCTGTACAGAGCAGTCTGCTGCTGCCTTGGGCTGCCTGAAGTGCCACCCTCAGCGGGTTTGTTCTTTCTGTCGTAGGCCAACAGCTTCACGGTCTCCTCTGTCTCTGCCCCTTCCTGGCTTCACCGTTTCATCATTGGCAAGAAAGGGCAGAACCTGGCCAAGATTACTCAGCAGATGCCAAAGGTGAGGACTCACGGTGCCCTCCGCAGACCGGCCTGCTGCGCCAGCTTCCTGGGCTGAGTGAGGAGTCTAACCAGAGAGGCCGTGTGCTACCGGGTTGAATCAGTACTTAAGAGACACATCACCCAGTGACTGTGGCTCATGACGCTCGCGTGCAGGCTGCCGCGTGTGCTGTGGTGGGGAGCGTGGGGCTCGCGTGCAGGCTGCCGCGTGTGCTGTGGTGGGGAGCGTGGGGCTCGCGTGCAGGCTGCCGCGTGTGCTGTGGTGGGGAGCGTGGGGCTCGCGTGCAGGCTGCCGCGTGTGCTGTGGTGGGGAGCGTGGGGCTCGCGTGCAGACGCTGTGTGTGCTGTGGTGGGGAGCGTGGGGCTCGCGTGCAGGCTGCCGCGTGTGCTGTGGTGGGGAGCATGGGGCTCGCGTGCAGACACTGTGTGTGCTGTGGTGGGGAGCGTGGGGCTCGCGTGCAGGCTGCCGCGTGTGCTGTGTGTTGCGTGTGCTCTTGAGGGGAGTGTGGGGCTTACATGTAGATGCCACGTGTGCCGTGGTGGGAAGAGTGAAGCTCACGTGTAGATGTCATGTGTGCTGTGGTGGGGAGCGTGCGGCTCGTGTGCAGACACTGTGTGTGCTGTGGTGGGGAGCGTGGGGCTCGCGTGCAGACGCTGTGTGTGCTGTGGTGGGGAGCGTGGGGCTCGCGTGCAGACGCTGCGTGTGCTGTGTGTTGCGTGTGCTTTGAGGGGAGTGCTCCCTGAAGGTCCTCTTGCTGACCCAGCCGGAGGCAGCCATAGTTCCAGGGAAATGCAGATGGGAAGGAGATACCATAGAACCCCCCAGAGTATTTATTTTTTTTCTTTAGACTTAGTTTCCAATTTTCTTTTTGTTCATTTTACTTTTTCCATCTTAACGCCTGGTTCACACAGATAGAATTGCTCCATGGAGCTGAGCTCCTGACCTCATGTGGACAGACGCAGGAATGTTGTAAGAGTGACTCACTCTACACTTGAGACAGCCGTCCCCTGCACGCTCGCTCTCTCCTCTCTGTCCCTCCTCCTTCCCTCTCGCTTGCTCGCTCTCTCAGGCCTTCCTCAGGTAAACAGGACGGTAGCCACGTGAGCGGTAGTGGGACCCGACTGTTCTGAGTTAGGGGTTGGGGCCTTTGCAGTCCTTGGTAACAGGAAGATTCTCAGACCACAGCATTGCAGTGGAGAGAGGGGTCTTCCGGGCACAGCCCCTTTCCATGGTGGTCTCTGTGGATGTGACCCTGCTCCCCACGGGTGTTTCTGAAGCTGCTGCCCCCAGGAGAGAGCCCAGGGCTGCTGCAGCTGTGCCACGGTGCTCTCCAGGTCTCCTCTTGTTCTGGTGTTAGGTTCACATTGAGTTCACGGAAGGGGAGGACAAGATCACTCTGGAAGGCCCCACGGAGGATGTCAGCGTGGCCCAGGAGCAGATCGAAGGCATGGTCAAAGATTTGGTACGGAGCCCTGGAGCCTGTGTTTGCCTGGGAGAGGTGGGGACAGGTGGACATGGGTCCAACAGGTCCTTTGTGAGTGAGTGGGTGCTGAGATGCAGAGGGGTGACTGGGTAGGTGCCAAGTGGTTCTGCCACAACTTTTTTTTTTTTTTAAGATTTATTTATTTATTTATTTGAAAGAGTTACATAGAGGAGAGGCAGAAAGAGAGGGCTTCCTTCCGCTGGTTCACTCCCCAATTGGCCGCAGTGGCCGGAGCTGCACCAGTCCAAAACCAGGAGTCAGGAGCTTCTTCCAGGTCTCCCACGCGGTGTAGGGGCCCAAGGGCTTTTGGCCATCTTCTACTGCTTTCCCAGGCTATAGCAGAGAGTGGAGCAGCTGGGTCTCAAACCAGCGCCCATATGGGATGCCGGCGCTTTAGGCCGGGGAGTTAACCCGCTGCACCACAGTGCCGACCCCACAACTTTATTTTAAAGGAGGGATCTTCCTGGGGGCCCCGAGGGACATCCTGAAGAATAGGAGGCACAGTGTGTCTGCTGGATTCGGGCTCTGGCTGCTGGCCGAGGACAAAGCGCTTGCCTTCTGACTGCCTTGTGCTCCTCCTCCAGGTCAACCGGATGGACTATGTGGAGATCAGCATCGACCACAAGTTCCACAGGCACCTCATTGGCAAGAGCGGGGCCAACAGTGAGTGGGGCTGGGCGGGGCACGGGAATCCCTCCACCTGGGACCACAGTTGGCTAAAGCTGTTTGGCGTATAGGTGAACTGAGTCAGCCTGGTGGGCCCTGCTGGGACCCCCGGGGCAGCCTCCTTCCTTGATGTGCAGCTTGCCGGCGAGTGGGACATCTCCAGGCTTGGCCCAGTGAGGCCCCTCTCAGCGTTCGATTCTGGGTCAGTGGGTGGGACTTGAGCTTGCAGGGGTGTCAGAAGCACACTTTGCCCAGGTGTTGGGCTTCACCCACACCCCACAGTGCCTCCCTACTCAAGGCAGCTTCACGCCCGGGGAGCACCCTGTCCCCGCATTGCTCACCCGACAAAGGCTGTGGGAGCCTGCCCTGTGTCTGGCAGCTGAGCAGTCCCTTCCCATCAAGGGTGAGTGACATGTATGCCCACCTGTGGCCTGTGTGGTGTGTCACTCCTGTGTGCTGTGGGTATTTTAGGTGGCAGGGATGAGACTCTGGCACCAAGGGACTTGGCCCAGTGCTCATTTCTGCACGCTGCTTGAAGCAGGCTCATGCCAGAAACTTGGTTTTGTGGTTTTGTTTCTCAGTCACAAGTGTGGTCCTGGTGAGGATCCCTGTTCTCTGCTCTTGGGGGCTACTGAGCCCCTGCACACCTGTGGCAGAGCAGTGCCCTCTTCTGAGCCAGTGCCTGGCCCCTGCACCACAGTGGGCAAAACGCCTGCCTCGTTCCTGGTGCTGAGGCTCCTCCAGAGTTGGGAGCTGGGAGCCCTGCATCTGTCCAGAGCAGGGGCCCCCGGGGGCCTGAAGGCTGTGAGGCTGCAGTCAGCTCTCATTTGTGTGTTGTCTTCACTTGAGGAGCTCCAGAAGGCGCCGGCACCTTGGAACTTCCCGGTGCTCTGAGACGCTGGGTGGCCCAGGTGTCATTACCTGAAGCTATGGGTAGTACCCCATGGTAGTGCTCTCAAGCCTGGGCCTGGTGAGGGTCAGAGCTGGTTCTTAGCGCAGACCACGGGAGACCAGCGAGGTTACTCTGGGCTCCAGCCCTGTCCTGCTCGACTGTGCATGTGTGCGAAGTGTGTTTCCTCTTGTGTCTCTAAGTTAACAGAATCAAAGACCAGTACAAGGTGTCCGTGCGCATCCCTCCCGACAGTGAGAAGAGCAACCTGATCCGCATTGAGGGAGACCCGCAGGGCGTGCAGCAGGCTAAGCGGGAGCTGCTGGAGCTTGCCTCTCGCATGGTGAGCCTGCTGGAGTGCGGGGCCCACCAGGCAGGCACACGGCAGCGTCGAGTCCCCGACGCCCATGCTGCTGGACTTGCTTCCTCATCCTTGCTCCCCAGCAGGGCCCCCCACGTGGTACTGGTGCAGCACAGTGCTGCGGGGGCGGGGGGGGGGGGTCCCAGATGCCCAAGGACCAGCTCCCGAGATTGTGATGGATGTCTCTGGATTCTTAGTCGCTCCTCAGTTGGTTCTTCTGTGTGGCTAGGCGTGGGAATCCCTCATGCCTGGGGGTGGAGTTAGGGTTAGGTGGAAGCACCTCCTGCCCGGGGTGTCCCCACACCTCACTGCACCAGGTGCCAGCAAGTCTCCACCGTGGTGCACAGGACTCCTGGGGCACCTTTACACAGCCTGCACAGGCAGAAGTGGGGTAGGCGGACAGGCCTTCAGCACAGTGGTCAAGCTGTCACGGCCACCTCTGGAACCTGACTCCAGCCTCTTGCTGGTGTTGGCCCTTGAAGGCAGCGCTGGCTACTCAGTGATGGCGTTGCTGACACCCTGTGGAGACCTGGATTGGGTTCCCAGTTACGAGCTTAAACATGGCCCAACCATTGCCACTGTGGGTTTCTGGGGAGTGAACCCGCAGATGGGAGCTCTGCTGTCTCGTGTCTCTTTGCCTCTCAATTAAATAAAGAAATAAAAATGGCGAGGTGAGGAGCAGGGCCCAGGGTTCTGGGTCAGCGCAGCATGTGGGCCAAGCACGTCCTGATGAACCCGTACATGGGCCTTGCTGTATCTTGTGCTGAACCCTCTCTGTCACCCAGATGCCACTGTGGCCTGGAGTCCTGTTGCAGTCTGGTCAGCCGGCCGTGCTCCCCTTAGCCCCTGGCACTGTTCTGTGTCACTTCTGTCATCTTAATGAAATCTGCAGGTGGATTCCGTGCCCTGTGCTGAAACAGTCTGTTCTTTTCTTTTTTAAGATTTTGTTTATTTATTTAAAGGAGTCATGGAGAGAGAGAACGCATGCGCGTCCATCTACTAGTTCACTCTCCTGATGGCTACAGTGATCAGCACTGAGCCAGGCCAGAGCCAGGAGCTTCCTCTGGGTCTCCCACGCAGGTGCAGGGCCCCAAACACTTGGGCCGTCTTCTGGTGCTTTTTCCCAGGCCCTAAGCAGGGAGCTGGATCGGAAGCAGAGGACACTGACATTGCACATCGTGGTTTTCCCTGCTGTGCCACATGGTCACACAGGGAAGGTAGTTGGGGCATACCTTGTGTTCAGGAGGGATCTCTACCTGTGAGCAGAGTGTTTTGCCTCTCGGTAGAAGAGCGAGCTTGGGGCCAGTGCTTTGGCACAACAGGTTAATGCCCTGGCCTGAAGCAAAGCACCGGCATCCCATATGAGCACGGGTTCGAGACCTGTCTGCTCCACTTCCAATCCAGCTCTCTGCTGTGGCCTGGGAAAGCAGTAGAAGATGGCCCAAAGTCCTTCAGCCCCCACGTGGGAGACCTAGAAGAAACTCGTAGCTCCTGGCTTCAGATCGGCACAGCTCCGGCCATTGCAGCCATCTGGGGAGTAAACCATCGGATGGAAGACATCTCTCTCTCTCTCTCTCTCTCTCCCTCTCTCTCTGTGCCTCTCTTCTCTCTGTGTAACTCTGACTTTGAAATAAATAAATAAATCTTTAAAAAAAAAAAAAAAAAGGCAAGCTCACCTCTAGTTCTTGTCAGAACAGAAGAGCTGGGTAGGTTGCTAATTGCCGCTACCAAGACAGCACTGTTGATTGAAGGGTCAGTTCCATGGGAAGCATCACATGACCGCAGAGAGCAGATGTGCTGTGAGGGACACTCTTGGATGGCCTGGGGACCTGTAGCTCTTGGGGGTGCTTGCAAGGTGCACCAGGCCTCTCACTTGCTGCTGGATGGCATCTGGGCTTTCCCAGGCAGGGAAGGGGCTGGGGATGACGATAACATCTACCTTAATTATATTTGTAGGAAAATGAGCGAACCAAGGATCTAATCATTGAGCAGAGATTTCATCGCACAATCATTGGGCAGAAGGGAGAGCGGATCCGTGAAATTCGTGACAAATTCCCAGAGGTAAAGCTCTCCCAAACACATGCCACGGCCCCTCTGGAGGTGCCCTCACTCGGGAAAGTGCAGTGTTCTGGATCCAGTCCTTCCCGGTGATGGGTGTGGCCTCCTGGTGACTCGTTCTAGGTTATCATCAACTTTCCAGACCCAGCACAAAAAAGTGACATCGTTCAACTCAGAGGGCCCAAGAACGAGGTGGAGAAGTGCACCAAGTACATGCAGAAGATGGTGGCGGATCTGGTGGGGAGACGCTCCGGGCCTTGTGGCGGGCGGGGCGGCTGCTGTCCCAGCTTCGGAGTGGCAGTGCTTGTCCGGAAACAGTGTTGGCGAGGTTTAGCTGGAGCTTCCGCCTTCCCCACGGCAGGGCACCTTGCTGCCTTTTGGGTCTTTAGGTCCCTAGAGGGTCTGTCCATCCAGTGAGGAGGGAGAGAACACGAGTGGAATGGAGTCATTTGTTGACATTATTTTCTAAAAAGCTGAAATGGATAAAGGCTTGACCGTGTGGAAGAGTGATTAGCAGGGAGGCCACCAGTCGCTGCATGTTTGCACGGTTGCTCATGGGGCCTCAGTGTGGTTGCTGAGTGCCCTGAGGAGGTGGGAGGGTCTCCTGGCACTGTGACCTGCTCCTGCGTGCCTCCCCTTGGCCTAGCCAGACTTGACTGCTTCAGGTTAGACGTGCGCGGTCAGTCAGCTGTTGCCCTGGTGATGGGCCACGGCTGTGAATGCACTGCCCTCGGGGACGGAGCGGCTCGGGCTGCTCATCGTGGCTTCCTGTTTGTCTTCAAGGTGGAAAACAGCTATTCGATTTCTGTTCCGATCTTCAAGCAGTTCCACAAGAACATCATTGGCAAAGGAGGTGCAAACATCAAGAAGGTGACCAGCTTGTCCCTGAGTCGGGGCTGTCCTTGCAAGCCCTGCGCCTGTTGGGTGCAGATCGCTCCAGCCCGTGCTCCTGGGGTCTCAGTTGTGGGAGACTCTGGTTAGCTCCTCATCCGCATCTTCCCCTGTAGATTCGCGAGGAGAGCAACACCAAGATTGACCTTCCCGCAGAGAACAGCAACTCCGAGACCATCGTCATCACGGGCAAGCGTGCCAACTGTGAAGCTGCCCGCAGTCGGATCCTGTCCATCCAGAAAGACCTGGTAATCAGGGGTCTCCCAGCCAGCGCGGCACACAAAGTGACCCCGTGGCAGTCACGTGGGCGTTGTGCGTTCGTCATCTTTCTGCTCAATTTTATGCCCCGTGGAAATCAGCATCTGTGAAGGTGCTTGGTGTTGCCCTTGGTTCGTAAGAAGTGACCATGCAGTAGGCTGCGCCTGACTGACGTGTGTGCTCCGTGGATTTGTTCCCACGGCAGACACCTTGGGACCTTTGTGCTCTAGCCTGCACGCAAGGCAGCACGTGGTGGTGTGCGCTCTGTCCGAGCTGCGTCCGCCTGCACGTGGACTGCTCGTCTCTGTGCGTGCTTGGTCAGTAGTGGCCTTCAAGGGGTTTCCTGTTTCACTCATTGAATTCCTGCCTGTACTGGTGTGGCGTGTGTGACACGTGTCATCGTGAAATGAGCCTTGGCCCCTGCAAGTACTCCTTGCTCCGAAATCTCCCTTTTTCTGATGTTCAGAAGCTTGACTTTAAGTTGCGTCTCTGCCTTGTGCATGGATGCTTGCATCTAACTGATTTGTGTTTGTATTCTGTTACGTGTCCCCTAGTTCTGCTTATTACACAGATATGTAACAAATGTGATCAGATTGACTTGGTCACATTTTTTCATTGTGGTGAGATACAGGTAATAGCACCTCCCATCTTGGCTCTTCTCCATGTGCATTGGTGGCAGTGAGTGTGTTCGAAGTCCATGGCAGCCACCACCTCATCCGTCTTCAGACAGAAGTTCTGCGCCCCTCCCCTCCCAGGCCAGCTCCTGGGTCTGCCATGTTGCTCTTGGCTTTCTGTTTGTCGCATCTACTTAGTTCTCTCTTCGCTCTTTCTGTGCTTTGCTTTCGAGTTGAAAATGTTTCATCCTCTTTTTTCTGTTGCTCAGGAAGCGTCCCTCTGCCGCTTGACGCTGTCTCCAGCCTGAAACAGTGTGCCCCTTCCCCTCCCTCCGTGCTGTTGGCCACACTTTTTATCTTTGATGTGTTTTAGACCCTGTGGGGAATATTCTTTTATCACTTTTGTTATTTTTTTTTTTTAATTAGACCCTTAGCAAAATAATCTGTGAATTGAGCATCTCCAGAGCACTTCGCTCCTTCCGCAGATCTGTATTTCCAGTTCTGCTCTGTCCAGAAGGTGTGTCTGCTGCTGGTTAATTCTGCTTTGTATTTAAATGTCTAGAAGCTTCTTTAATTTTTCTTTTTTGTAAAGATTTATTTTATATATTTGAAAGGCAGAGTTTCAGGGAGAGAGAGGGAAAGGGAGACACAGAGAGAAAGGTCTTCCTCCACTGGTTCACTCCTGGGCCAGGGCCAGGGCTGGGCCAGGCAAGAGCCAGGAGCTTCATCCAGGTCTCCCACAAGGGAGCAGGGGCCTGAGCATTTGGGCCATCCTCTGCTGTTTTCCCAAGCACGTTAGCAGGGAGCTGGATCAGAAGTGGAGCAGCTGGCACTTGAACCAACACCCATGTGGGATGCTGGCACCCCAAGTAGTAGCTTTACCTGCTGTGCCATAGCACTGGCTCCTTTGCTTCTTTTTTTATTTCTTACTTGTATTTTGTTTATCTGAAAGAGAGAAAGGGAGATATACACAGAGCTCCCACTCCTGGTTTACTCCCAAAATTTCCACGGCAGCCAAGACTGGGCTGAGGCCTAAGGAGCCAGGAACTCAATTCATTTCTCCTGCGTAGGTGACAGGAACACAATTACTTGAGCACTGGCCTCTGCCTCCCAGGTTCATGATAGCAGGAAGCTGGAGTTAGAGCCGGGGCAGGTTCCAAGCTTTCCCCTCGTCTGCCGCAGGTGGTTGTCCAGGTTGCTGCTTCCACCAGGACCGAGGCTCCCACTGCCCGCAGCTTGTGCATCTGTGTCGTTTTCTTCCTGAGCTTCTTGGATGTCTTCTCATCACGCTGGGGAGATTCGGGTTGCTGTTGCTTTGTGTTTTCTGGTCACGCCAGTTCTGGGGTACAGGCTGTCCTGCCTTTCCCGGTGGCTCTCTGATTAGAATGGGGCGGGGGTGTTTTCCCTCGGGTTTCTGTGAATTCGGTGGTTTCCTGTGGTATCTGAGAGGGTTCTCTCCTCAGCGTTAGCACGTTCGGTCTTTTCCTTTGCCACATGGTTAAAAAGACAGTCTCATTCGGTGCTCGTCCACGTGGCCGGGCTGTGGCCCCTGCCCCTGCCCCTGGGTCTTCTAGGCCACAGCCCGTGTTCCTCCACTCACAGTGTGTTGCTCTGCATGCGTGTCTGGCGGGGGTATTTGCTTTGTTTAGCTGTTTGTGCATTCCGTCGACAGTTTTGAGCTTTGTCAAGTCACTCTGAAAGTTTGCTCCCAGCCCAGTGTTGTGGCACCACTGGTTAAGCTGAATCAGAGCGCCGGTTCATGTCCTAGCTGCTCTGCTTCTGAAGCAGCTCCCTGCCAACACTCCTGGGAGGGCAGCGGAAGATGGCCCCCGGGGGAGGCCTGGCTTCACCCTGGCTGTTGCAGCCATGTGGAGAGTGACCCGACACACAGAAGACCTGACTGCTGTGTGTCATTCTGCCTTTCAGATAAATGAGGCTCTGACTTCCGAGGTTAATAGACGGGATCAGAGCAGGTATTTCCCATCCCTGAGGCGAGAGCCTCTTGAGCACTGTCTGGTGTCTGGTGTCCCTCCCAGCTGCTAAGCACGGACACCGCTTCCTGTCATCGTCCCTGGGCCCCGGCTGCCAGCCGTCTCCTTGCTCTCTGTGCTGCGCAGGGGCGTGGCAACCCTTGGGCTCTCGTGTTTACTTGCTGTTTCCAGTAGGCCGTGAGTTTAGTCCCTGTTGGTTGGACGCAGAATCTTTGCTGTGATAGGAAGTTTCCCCAGAGCTGCCTGAGGAAGCGCCCCGTTCTTCCCGGCTGTGTCGGCGCTGTTTCTCTGGCCCGTTCTTGCCACACTGATGTGACTCCCTTCTTCCCGTCTGTCTGGTTTCAGGCCAACATAGCCGAGGTGGAAGTCTCCATCCCGGCCAAGCTGCACAACTCCCTCATCGGCACTAAGGGCCGCCTGATCCGCTCCATCATGGAGGAGTGCGGTGGTGTCCACATCCACTTCCCCGTGGAAGGCTCTGGCAGCGACACGGTTGTCATCAGGGGCCCTTCCTCAGACGTAGAGAAGGCCAGGAAGCAGCTGCTGCACCTGGCCGAGGAGAAGGTGAGCCCCTGGCCCTAGCGGGGGGGAGGAGGGCTGGTTAGGAGTGTCTGCTGGGAAGCCTGGGCTCTTCTCATGGCGGGAAATCCAGAGTCCTTTGGGGCACTTCAGGGACTGACTTTTTTTTTTTAATGTGACGTTGGCTTTCCATGACAGAAGGGCCTTTCACGGTCCAGGTGCCACGTGAGGGAAACTGGGGGCAGGGGGAGTAAAGTGTGACTGACAGCAAGATGAGCCCTTCTGTGGCCGCCACTGCAGTCAGAATTCTGCACTGCGTTGCTGGATTCCGTTGTCAAAACGCCCTGGAGTCTGTTTGTGTCTGTCCACCCCAGAACCCCGCAGGCTCTGTGGGGCTCGCTTTGCAGAGCCACGGAAGCGGAGCGTGGGGCGTCCTCTGGCTGTGTCTTCCGCACGCGGAGACCACCTTGGCTGCTCAGCTCCCGCACCTCTCTGCACCTTCTGGCTCTGTCAGTTCTTGGATTTTTATTCTGAGCTAACCTAAAGATCTCAGTGATTTAGGCCTTCAAGTCTTCACTGGTGTTTCATGTTGGTCCCATTGGGTTTTGTAAGCTGGCCTTGCTTGGTGAGAGTGCGCTGCACGGAGGTGCCTGCTGGCTGTGGTAGCTGCGTCTGTAAGAGTCACATCACCTGTGAGCAGAGCCCCTGTCTGCTGTCACATGGGGTGCAGGTGGGAGGGCCCAGACTCTCAGTGTCTGCTCTCCTCGAGAGTGTGTGATGTTGGCAGTCTTGGCCACCCTTGCATTTCTTTCTTTTTCTTTCTTTCTTTTTTTTTTTTTTTTTTAATTTGACAGAGTTAGACAGTGAGAAAGAGACAGAGAGAAGGGTCTTCCTTCTGTTGGTTCAACCCCCAGATGGCCACTACGGCCAGAGCTACACCGATCCGAAGCCAGGAGCCAGGTGACAGGTGCTTCCTCCTGGTCTCCCATGTGGGTACAGGGCCCCAAGCACTTGGGCCATCCTCCACTGCCTTCCCGGGCCACAGATAGCTGGACTGGAAGAGGAGCAACCGGGACTAGAACCCGGCACCCATATGGAATCTGGCGCCGCAGGCAGAGGATTAACCACGTGAGCCACGGCGCTGGCCCCACCCTTGCATTTCTAGGCTCTGTGGTATCTTCTCCAAACTGTCGCTGTCTGTACTGTGAAGACCAGCGGCTTGGTGAATCCGGCACTGAGGACCCAGGTGCTTCGTGTTGCACTGGCAGACACTTGTCCTCTGTCCTCCCGCCTGGGAACCAGGGCCCAGGTCCAGAAGAGCCAGGCGTCTCGGGAGCAGCCTGGCCCGCTGCGTTCTTCGTGGGGTTGCAGCATCCAATCCTTGCCTGGGCCTTGGTGTCATCAAGGGCCTCGTGCTCTCGGGGGAGCTGAGGGCTTTCTGCCCCGACTGTGAGCGTGGTTGGCTTGTCTGTCTCTGAGCTGCCCCTTTCTCGCCGGCGATGACCTGCAGCACTCGGGAGGAAGAGAGGACGGGGAGGAGCAGCTGCATGAGTGGTCTGGAAGTCCCAGGCCGGGGCCCTGGCCCTTGCACCCCGCCCTCCAGCACATCTGAGCAGATCAAGAGTAGCCTGGAGGGGCTGGTGTCAAGTGGAGCAGGTAAAGCCACCACTGCTTCACTTCCGATCCAGCTCTGCTACTGCACCTGAGAAGCCAACGGATGGTGGCCCGCATGCTTGGTCCCCTGCCACTCACACTGCAGACCAGGATGGAGCTGCTGACTCCTGGTCTTTAAAAGGGAAAAAAAGGGGCTGGCTCCGTGGCTCACTTGGCTAATCCTTGGCCTGTGGTGCCGCGTCTCATATGGGCGCTGGGTTCTAGTCGCGGCTGCCCCTCTTCCAGTCCAGCTCTATGCTGTGGCCCGGGAGGGCAGTGGAGGGAGGATGGCCCAAATGTTTGGGCCCCTGAACCCACATGGGAGACTGGGAGGAGGTACCTGGCTCCTGGTTTCGGATCAGCACAGCGCCAGCTGTAGTGGCCATTTGGAAGGAACACCTTTCTCTCTGTCTCTCTCTCCCACTGTCTATAACTCTACCTGTCAAAAAAAAGGGGAAAAAAAAGAGTAGCTTGCAGAGGTTCAGGCAGGGCCAGGCTTGGTCTGTGTGAGCTTCAGCATCCTGGCACCCTCCTGCACCCCCTCCCTGCCTGGGGAGAGGTGTAGGTGCCTCTCCTGCTCTGTGGCCCAGCCGGCTGGTGCCAGGCCAGCTGCCAACAGCCACAGGATTCGTTTTTGCAGCAAACAAAGAGCTTCACGGTTGACATCCGCGCCAAGCCGGAATACCACAAGTTCCTCATTGGCAAAGGTGGTGGCAAAATCCGCAAGGTGCGTGACAGCACTGGAGCCCGCATCATCTTCCCTGCGGCCGAGGACAAGGACCAGGACCTGATCACCATCATCGGGAAGGAGGATGCCGTGCGGGAGGCTCAGAAGGAGCTGGAGGCGCTGATCGAGAGCCTGGACAACGTGGTGGAAGAGCACATGCTGGTGGACCCCAGGCACCACCGCCACTTCGTCATCCGCAGAGGCCAGGTCCTGCGGGAGATAGCTGAAGAGTACGGCGGGGTGATGGTCAGCTTCCCGCGCTCCGGCACGCAGAGCGACAAAGTCACCCTCAAGGGCGCCAAGGACTGCGTGGAGGCGGCCAAGAGGCGCATCCAGGAGATCATTGAGGACCTGGTAGGTGTCCAGGGGTCCTGGGCTGTGGCCCTCTCTGACGGTAGGGTGGGGTGGGAGTCCCCTGGAGAGGTGTCGAGGTGTGTTGCTTTCTCTAAAGCAGCCTGGGGGCTTCCTCTGTTCCTTGCCCTGAAGCTGCCGCAGGGTGAGGGTCCGTCCTCCTGCGTCTGTAGGCAGATTCTGGCCTCAGCAAGTGCCCCTGCAGTCGCACCTCCCTGACCCGCCCCGCCCCGCCCCGTGCACCTGAGCCCAGCGTCCCCCTCAGCTGTGGCATGGTGGTGCACGCCCTGATGGGAGGGAGGGAGGGAGGGCAGAAGCCGACCCCAGGATGCAACTTTGCTCTTCTTCTTCCCTGTGCGCTCAGGAGGCCCAGGTGACACTCGAGTGTGCCATACCCCAGAAGTTCCACCGGGCTGTCATGGGCCCCAAGGGCTCCAGAATCCAACAGATCACTCGGGATTACAACGTTCAAATTAAGTTCCCTGATAGAGAGGAGAACCCAGGTGGGTCCCTGCTGCCTCTGTGCAAAGGAGACTGGGGTGGGCAGACTGCTCTCCCCGCTCCCAGTGACCACACTTGGCTGGACGCCCGCCGCGTATCCCAGAACTGCTGGTCTCTAAAAGATGGGTGCTGTCACAGGAAGACAAGGTGCTGTGTTTGTGCACACGTGTGTGGAGGCTGCTGTATATATACACATGGTGTTCATGCTGTGCGTGTTTGGAGGGTGCTGGGGGGGGCTGTGTGTATGTGTGCGCATGTGCGCAGCTAGTAGGGGGCAGCCGCATGTGGGTGGCCAGGCCACAGCAGAGGAAGGAGCCTGCGACGTCTTGGCTGCAGGAGTGCTGAGTGCAGTGTGCTGTTTCTCGGCGTACCTTGTGCCTGCCCCGAGGAGCCTCCCCAGCCCTGGCAGAGCGGCCTCCTCACTCCTCACCCCATGTCCCTGAGGCCATGTCTGCGAGGTCAGGTGGCTGTGGTTAGTGACCGGCCTGAGGGCATTGTGCAGGTGTCTGGTGGGTTTCCTGGGGGAGCTGCTGTCCCTTGTCACAGAGATCCAGTCTCACGAGGTGGCACTGCACCCACTTAGGTCGTGATGGCATTTCATACCTGCACATTACACAGCACAGCATGAAGGTGCACCTTCCCCTCGCACACGTGGCTGTAATTTCTGCGTGTGTGGGTGTTTCCTGGGGACCACGTGCTCTCCCTGACCATGGCACACTGCTCACACTCAGTCCTGCTAGGTCCCAGCCAGTGCACGGCACGATGGCTTGGGGCTGTCGTGTGTACGCACTCGCCGCTCCTGTGGACCCTGGCGTCAGTCCTCCTCCACGGCTGAGTGCTGCCCAGGAGTTGGTTTTCATTCCAGTGCTGGCTGTCGTGCCCGCAGGAGCCCCTCCCACTGTTTCCCTGTGCTGCGGACGTGGCTCCTTCCTCATCCTGGCCTCTCCCCTCCTGGACCACCACGTGTCGCAGCCTGCCCTGCTCTCCCTCAGGCACCTGGCAGCTGTCCCACCGGGGCTGCTGGTGGCTGGTTTTCCGGGTGAAGGATGAGGGTCTTACTCCCCTCCCTGCCTGGTACACAGTAGGCAGCAAACATATGTTGACTTCTGCCAGTGACAGGCGCCACAGAGTTACTTGCCCTTTCTCCCTAGTTCACAGCATGGAGCCAGCCGTCCAGGAGAACGGTGAAGAGTCTGGGGAGGGGAGAGACACCAGGGAGGCAGAGCCTGGCTCTCCGCGGAGGTGCGACATCATCACCATCTCCGGCCGGAAGGAGAAGTGTGAGGCGGCCAAGGAAGCCCTAGAGGTGGGTTGGGCCCTCTGTGCCCTCCCTGGGGCTGGGTAGCTGCCCGTCCATCAGCAGTCGGTGGGCCTCAGCATTTCAGTGTGAGCACACAGCTCAGAGGACCTCCTGCAGAGGGGTCGCTGAGCGCAGTCTGTTGTCCTGGAGAGACGAGTGACAGGCAAACCGTGTGTGTCAGAGCGGGAGAGTGCCTGGTGACGCAAGTCAGCATTGTGCCAGGAGTCAGGGGTGTCTGGGGCCTGCCGCGATACGAGAGTCTGACGTGGAGGGCTGAGTCTCTCCCAGCAAGACCAAAGCCCAGTTCCTGTTGCTTTTTGATTCTTCATGATTTAAAAAGTCCGGGTGGTGTCGTCAGCCAGACATGCAGACAGAAGGTTCTAGAAATACACGGTCATTCTCTTCAGGGCCCTTCCCCTGTGAGCCTGCAGGGTCACAGGACTGCACACAGGGCCTGAGCACAACCGTCTTCCCCAGGCACTGGTTCCTGTCACCATCGAAGTAGAGGTACCCTTTGACCTCCATCGCTACATCATTGGGCAGAAGGGCAGCGGGATCCGCAAGATGATGGACGAGTTTGAGGTAGACTTAACCTGGAACTGTGGTCGGGAGTGGGTTCTGCTCGACGGTCGTCGGTCTGGTGCCCGTGGCCTGCTCCCGGGCCCGGCGTTCTTGCCAGCCCGTCACTCTGCCTCCCCTGCTCTGACACTGGTGTCACCTCCTCTGAGTGACACCGATGTCCCCTGCTCTGAGTGACATTAATACCCCCTACTCTGCTCTAACTTGAATGCTCCCCAGGTCTCCATGGTGCGTGACTGTCATTTGTCTTCCCTCTGGGTGCCCAGCCTGTGACCATGTCCTGGGTCACGGCAACATGAGCGCTGCTGTCTCCACACAGGTGAACATCCACGTTCCGGCACCTGAGCTGCAGTCTGACATCATCGCCATCACTGGCCTTGCCGCAAACCTAGACCGGGCCAAGGCGGGGCTCCTGGAGCGGGTGAAGGAGCTGCAGGCCGAGCAGGAGGACCGCGTGAGTGCGGGGGCTGCCCTCCAGGAGACCCCCTTCAGAGCCCTGGCCCTCGGCCTTGGGTGCACTTAACGCTGCTTGGGGGTTCTTGAAGACTCCAGCAGCCCAGCTGAGTGGGGTGGCTGGAGGTAATACCGAGGAGGTGCAGTTGGGGTACAGAGGGCTTGTGGTGGAGTGAGCCGGACTCCCGTGTTCACGTGCGAGTTCTCTTAACCCCAAGCTAGGAAGGACGCTACTTCAGCTTCCTCTGACCATCTGGGACAGGCAGGCCGGGAGGCCCAGCACAGGCCTCAGGCCAGGCTTTGTGCTCATCTGCAACACAAGCACAGGTGGCTGTGGCCTCCCATGGTTGGGAGGGTTGGGGCCCGCTTCCTCTCTGGCAGTGAGGAGGGGGTGTTCTGGAGCGGGTGAGTGACTTCGCCGAGGGACCCCTGGTTTTCTGTTGCATGTGAAGAGCCTGGGCACGGGGCAGCACTCGGGAACCTGCAGTACCTCGCAGGCTCTGCACTCCCCTCTCCAGCCAGGGCTGAGCTCCGGCCCCAGCCGGGGACGTCCAGACCCTGGTGCTGTGCCTCAGCCCTGGAGAACGCAGGACTTAACTCACACGTGCCAGGCAGCCAGCTCGAGGGCTCGCACTGCGCGCGCCCAGCGTGCCCTCCTGCACGTGGCTCTGACCTCCGTCCTCAGCAGGAAGACTGACTGATACGTCTGTGGCGTGATCAAGTGTACTCGAGTGGGTGCTTGGAGGTGAACGGGGCAGAACCATGGGTCAGCAGCGAGTTGGGTGTCTTGCTCTGGGACCCAGGAGGCGTTGAGTGCATGGTCAGCATGGGTGCTAGCCGCCTGCCTCACGCTCCCTCGTTTCGCTTGTAGGCCTTAAGGAGCTTTAAGCTGAGCATCACTGTAGATCCCAAATATCATCCCAAAATTATTGGGAGAAAGGGGGCCGTGATCACGCAGATCCGCTTGGAGCATGATGTGAACATCCAGTTTCCTGACAAGGATGACGGCACCCAGGTAAGAACAGCCGTCCGGTTCAGAAGGGCCATCCGTGACCTGCCCAGGGGTGCCGGAGCTGACTTCAGAGTGGCAGGTCCCCGAGGCTAGGCTGTGCAACGGGGTGGTTGAGGCCTTCTCTGTGCCATGTGTCATCCAGGCCTTGGGCAAGTTTTCTCTGTGCCTCTTGGTCACTCCTGGCAGGTGAGCCAGGGCTTCAGCTGGGTCTTTCTTGAGCTGTGCACCTGCCAGGTGACACTTGTCACCTGTCACCAGGGTCCCCTTGACAATGCTCCAAGGGATCCTAGGAGGTGAGTGGGCATGAGACAGCCTGTATCTTACATCTCAGCCCCTGGAGGAGATGCCAGCAGAGGGTAAACACTGCTGCACTTTCAGAGGGACCAGGAAAACTCCACCTGTTGTCCCCGTATCGCAGTGCCAGCCTCTCCCACCTCACACCCTGGGTCTGTCTCTTTCTGGCTGGTTCGTGCACATGCATGGTCAGACCAGCCCTCCCAGTACTCCCAGCCCCCCTCTGCCAGCTCTGATTACAGCCCCCTCTCCCAGGTGGTACCCCCCGCCCCTCTCTTCTGGCTCTGACTGTCCCAGCCCAGCTTCAGTGGCCACAGTCCTGAAGCCCAGTAGAGCACCCCTCGCTCCCACTGCCGGCAGTGGCCTCCCGGCTTTGCAGTCTTTGAGAAACACAGCTCAGAAAACCTGCTCTGCCTCCTCCCTGTGTGTTACTTTCTGGCTGCCTCTTGTGTTTCTGGCAGTTTATACCAGCACTCTGGTTTTCACTAGAAGGGTTTTGGTTTTTTGTTTTGAGAGAGACCAGGACCATAATCCAGGCCTCCTGTGTGGGTGACAAGATCCCACTCACTGCAGCGTCACTGAGCCAGGATCTGCCTTTTGCAGGCAGCTGCAGCCAGGAACCACACCCGGGCTGTCCAACGTGAGACACCTGTGTTTTAACTGGCTTTTTTAGATTTTATTTGCTTAAGAGTTAAAGAGAGAGGGAGAGACAGAGAAGTCTTCATCCACTGGTTCACTCTCCCAAGTGACTATAACGGCTGGAGCTGGGCTCATCCAAAGCCAGGTCTCCCACGTGGGTGCAGGGTCCCTAGGACTTGGGGCATCTGCTGCTGCTTTCCCAGGGCACAGCAGAGAGCTGGATCAGAAGTAGAGCAGCCGGGACTAGAACCGGCCACCCATATGTGATGCCAGCACCACAGGTGGAGGCTTATCCCAGTACGCCACAGCGCCGGCCGCTTGGCTGCCATCTTAAACATTATGTTAAGTGCTTGCTCTAAACTTTAGTCTTAAATCACTATTTAACATTTGACTGTTTTCATTGGTATTCTAATGAACCAAGAAGGGAAGAAACCACACCTTTTTTCTTTTTCTTGTAATTTTTATTTAGTTATTTTCATTTTTATTTGAAAGGCAGAGAGAGACTGATCTTAGATCTGTTGGTTCATTCCCCAAATGCCCACGCATACAGGGCTGAGCCAGGCCGAAGCCAGGAGCCTGGACCTCAATACAGGTGTCTCGTGTGAGTGGCAGGGCCTCCCAGAGCACACATCAGCAAGGAGCTGGATCAGATGTGATGGAGCTGAGACTTGAACCCAGGCTCTCCAGCAGGGGCCGTGCGTGTCCCCAGCTGTGACCTTGCTGCAGCACCACATGCCTGCCCCTCCAGTTATTCACACACAGCTTGTTCTGGGAGAACTGTGCTCCCCTGCAGACATGGTCGGGTCCAGCAGTGCCCGGGGAGGCTGTCTTCATGGACACAAGTTCTGTTAGTCCCCTGCGAGGAATTCAGTCCTGCGGATGCAGCTTCCTGCTGCACGGAGGCTGTGCGTTTCCTTCTGCATCCTGTGAGCTGTCTGCTCTGCTCCTGCAGTCCAGGTGGCGTCCACTGTGTGAGACTAGGAGGTCCGAGCCGACGGGAGTGAATGAGTGGCAGCCACAGGTGGTGGCATGCCGATCTCCTGCTGAGACTCTGGGAACCAGAGGCGTCCCCCCCCCGCCCCCACTGCCGCCTCCGCAACTCCAGCCGCCTTGAATCCCCAGCCCACGTCTGCGATGTCCCCTTGTCCCAGCCGCCTTGAAGCCCCAGCCCACGTCTGCGATGTCCCCTTGTCCCAGCCGCCTTGAAGCCCCAGCCCACGTCTGCAATGTCCCCTTGTCCCAGCTGCCTTGAAGCCCCAGCCCACGTCTGCGATGTCCCCTTGTCCCAGCCGCCTTGAAGCCCCAGCCCACGTCTGCAGTGTCCCCTTGTCCCAGTGGGTGCTGTCTCTTCCAGGCTGAAACTCACCTGTCTCTTGCCGATGTTTGGGATGAGACGGGCGCTGTGTGGTCGTTGTTAACCTGTCACTGCCAAGTCAGCCCCTTGGTGATGCCAGCTCCTGCTTTCTCCTCTGGGCTGGTCCTTGGGCCCCCAGTAGGCCTACACCTCCTCCCTGACTGTACTCGCTTCTTCCAGCCCCAGGACCAAATCACCATCACAGGGTACGAAAAAAATACTGAAGCTGCCCGGGACGCTATCTTGAAAATTGTGGGCGAACTTGAGCAGATGGTTTCCGAGGATGTCCCCCTGGACCACCGCGTCCATGCCCGCATCATCGGCGCGCGTGGCAAAGCCATCCGCAAGATCATGGATGAGTTCAAGGTGAGAGTCCCCACACTCACCGGGGACTCGCCACCTTTGTCCGTGTCCTTTTCTGTGACACACCTGAGGCAGGCACTTGGTAGAAAAGTGCCCGCCCTGGTGAGGCCCCGTGGCTGTCGCCTCCTGAGGGAAGTACATGGGTGAGGCAGTGGGCCTTGCTGTTTGCAGCCACTCACCCTCCACCACGCCCCACTCTCACTGCCACGCGGGACCAAGCGTCCAGCACGAGAACCCTGGAGCATACCGTACCCACACCATAGCAGCTGGCAGCTGTACAAAGCCAAGAGGGAGGCCAGCCTCCCATAGGCTGCAGGCGAATGCCACGCCTGGCACTGCTGGTCAGTGCAGACAATGGACCACTAGCAGGGAAAGAGGGGCAGGTTCCCCAGCGGCTTCCCCGCCCAGGAGACTGGAGCTGGGCTTGCGATGCACACAGCACGTGCCCAGCCCTTGTCCTCACAGACCTGTGGTGGTGGTGTGTTGCCCAGAGCCCTTGTTCTGACCCCTTCAGCTGACCCTGAGTGTTGTGTCCAGGTGGACATCCGTTTCCCGCAGAGTGGAGCCCCAGACCCCAACTGTGTCACTGTGACAGGGCTGCCTGAGAACGTGGAAGAAGCCATCGACCACATCCTCAACCTGGAGGAGGAATATGTGAGTGCTGGGCGCAGGCTTCCTGGAGGCCGTGAGGCAGCCAGCTGTGCTGAGACCCGGTTCTGACTGGCTAATGCCTGGCTGTGAGAACTGAGGTGGCCGCAAAGCTCTGTGTGTGTGTGTGTGTGTGTATGTGTATGTGTGTGTATGTGTATGTGTGTGTATGTGTGTGAAAGAACTAAGGTGGCAGCAAGCTGTGTGTGCAGGTGCAGGGGTTGTGTGTGAGAGCTGGGGTGGCAGCGGGTCGTGTATGCAGGTGCAGGAGGTGTGAGTGAGCTGAGGTGACAGCGGGGTCGTGTGTGCAGGTGCAGGGGGTGTGTGAACTGGGGTGGCAGTGGGGTTGTATGTGCAGGGGGTGTGAGTGAGAGCTGGGGTGACAGCGGAGCCATGCTTGGGCAGGTGCAGGGGTGAGCGGGTGGGTAGTGTGCCTGGAGAAGGCTGATGGGCATGCCGTGGGTCGGGCCTGAGCTCTGTCCCTGCCCCATCTGCTCCCGCAGCTGGCAGACGTGGTGGACAGTGAGGCGCTCCAGGTGTACATGAAGCCCCCCGCACACGAGGAGTCCAAGGCTCCGTCCAAAGGCTTTGTGGTGCGGGACGCTCCCTGGACCTCTGCCTCCAGTGAGAAGGTCAGTCATGGGTGCAGGGGTAGGGCTCACAGATGGGCTGCAGGCCCAGTCCTAGGGTGGCCGCTGTCCCAGCAGCTGCTCGCCCTGCTGAGGCCATGTCCTCTCCACAGGCCCCCGATATGAGCAGCTCTGAGGAGTTCCCCAGCTTCGGGGCTCAGGTGGCCCCCAAGACCCTCCCGTGGGGCCCCAAACGATAATGATCAAGCAGCAGAACGCTCTCCAGCCTGCTGAGCTGAACCACACGACGGTCAGCCTCGATCTGGCCCAGCGGCTGGCCCCTCCGCCGTTGTTGGCGCTCTCCCTCCCCGAGGTCTCGCAGTGAAGCCTGGCGTGGCCCGGCCCCCAGCGGCCGCCTCTCCAGCCCGTCGGCGCCCAGTGTGTTCAAGATCTGTTCTGGGACAGGCCTCTGCCGTCGCAAACACTAAACCAAGGTAATCCTGGTCCACCCAGCATGCCCGTCAGCACGCTGACCTTCATCTCCGACAGCACCACACCTGTGGCTGGGAGTCGACTTCCTGTGTCATGACCTCAGGAAATAAATGTCCTTGACTTTATAAAACCCAAGCCGTTTGCCCTCTTCCTTTGCCACCCCCTGCCTGCTGCCTGTCGCTCACTGTGGAGGGCAGGCGAGCCCCCCAGCTGCGAGCAGCCTGCTGGGCGCCGTCCCAGGAAGGAAGGCCCCGTGTGGACAGGCCACAGCACCTGGGTTCGCAGGTGGTGCTGACTCTGCCTGATTTGGGGTTCAGAAGCACCAAGGGGCTTCACCCCCACTCCCCGCTGCCTCACTCTTGGCCTAGAGGCCTGGTTGGTTGCATATACGTGTGCGTGGCCTGGGCCACTCACTGGGATAGGGCTGTGAGGTGGGGCGGCTCGGCTCGGCTCGGCTCAGCCTCTCTCCTCCGCTCCCTGCGTCTGACCTCCCGGAAACTGGATTTTCAGCTGCCGCCTTTCTACCTCAGCCGGTGTGGTCATGGGCCACACGTGTTGGTGCCACCCCAGCCACGTGGTCACGGGCCACACGTGTTGGTGCCGCCTCCGCACTCGGCTCTTGATGTGGACAGTCCTGACGACTGGCGGTTTGCTGTGGACTTGGGGCAGGTGTTGAGGGCCAAAGCCCAAGGATGCCCGCCCCTCACCCACGAGTGGTTCAGTGCCGGTCTAGAGCAGAGTACGACTCAGATGGGCCCCGGGGGCAAGGCCTGGGCTGGCTGAGGAGTACGTCTCGTGGCCCTGGGGTAGACAGGCGGTCTCTCAGCCTGGACTAGCCAGGGGCCAGAATGAGGACCGCACGCCGGCTGCCCCTGCCAGCCGCAGAGCGCCCACTCTTGTCTGGGTGAGGTTCACCACGGTGCCCCTGGCAGGCCCCGCTGAAGGGCCACCCTCCTGAGGACCGAGAACAGGTCCCTCTCCTGTTCGTACCACGGCGGTGGCCCCACTCCAGACACCCGCATTCCCAGGAAGACCATCTCGCTGCCAGTGTCTGAGTTGAGTAGCTCAGGCCTGGTCGTGTGGACTGTGCAACCCCTGCTCGCACCCAGAACCGTGTCCCCCGAGTCACAGGACAGGGGGCTGCAGGGCTTCATCGCCACAGGCTCAGGGCCCGGTACCCGGGGCTGATGACAGAAGGCAGCGTGCCTGCTTTCCCGCCTTTCCCAGCTGGGTTCCCCTGGGGATGTCGCCTCTCTTCCTCCCACTGGGTCCCATCTGACGTCTGGTTCTCCCCCCCAGCACCTGCCCCCAGAAGGGATTTTTTTTTTCACAATGCATTTTGCACATCACTCACTGCTTACCCTGGCCGGTGCACGCCCCTCCCTCGAGGTCGGGAGCCATGGTCCTGGTCTGTGTCCCTGTAGCCTCTGAGGCTGTGGGCAGAGCCCTGGGCAGGCCTGGGGAGTGTGGCTCTTCCTCTCTGTTGAATGTCTTCCATAGCTATGACCCATCCCTTGGCCTTAACTGTGGAACTTGGAGATTATATGCAAACGTGTATAAAAGCTCATGAGTATGGATGACACTGGAATTTTATATAAATTCTAAAATAAAACCCAAAACAACTGTAGCGTGCTGGGACTTGTTTTATCATGCCAGGTGTGTGTGTCCCCGTGACTCGCTCGCGTGGCAGCTGGACACCCACAGAAGTGAGCAGTGGTCCTGGCGGTTCTTGGCAGTAACTGCCCCCTCAGAAGCCGGCTCTGGGAAGATCTAGGCCCAGGGCATGAGCCAGTGCGAGTCTTGCCCTCCAGGCACGGCACAGCCGGCAGCAGCCCTGGGGTCCTGTCTCTGGGGCACGATCCGCAGCCGATGTGTGGAGCCCAAACTGCTCCAGGTTAGCCCTGGGGTCATCCCTGGGGATGCTGGACCCAGTGTCCCCTGCTGCCCAGAGTGCTCCCCTGTCTGTGGATGGCCTCACCGCTCTTAGTCAAGTCAGTCTGCCCTCAGGAAGGAACTCACATGCAGATGGCCCCACGCCAGCGAGGACTGGTTGAAGGAGACCTGGTGGCACTGTGGCAGCTGGGATAAGTCATGCCAGGGTTCCGTGGTTCCCTCCCTGTCTGTGGCCAAGGTAGTGGCTGCTGTGGATGGGAGAGGGTCATGGGAGGCGGGGAGGAGCCCTGTGACCAGGGCCGGGCCGTGGTCCACGTGCTGGCTGCCGCGTTATGTGCCTCATTGAATAAATTGACCTTCGGACTTCAGACTTAGGGCAGCGACAACCTAGAAGCAAGCATGGGTTTTGTTGGATACTTGCAGATTTGACTGGGTACCCAGCAGGTGTCTGCTCTAGACCTGTCCCACTGGTCTGGTCCACCTGCTCGAAGAGCCCTCAGCAAAGGCTAGGGGCAACACTGCTCCATGGGTTAAATGCACTGACCCGGCACGGTGGAGAGGCCCTAGTGGGCAGGGTGTTTGGCACCATACTCTCTCTGCAATCGTGAGTGCCTGGGCCCTGACTCCTGACGCCGTCTTCTATGCAGCTCTGAGTACTGGGGTCCCTGCCCCCACCCCAAGACTTGGCCATGGCTGCTGTGGGGCGCATGCATTCTAGAACAGTCCACAAGGCTCAGCCTCTGCAGTTGGCATGCCTTGAGTTGTCTAGGGGAGACTGCGACCAGGACACAGGTAGCAGGGTGCCCAGGCAGAGCCCTGGGCTGCAGGAGGCCGTGGCCTCGGAGCGTGAGGCAGGCTGGTCCCAGTGTGCCTCTGACAGTCTCCGGGAGCCCCCGGTGACTCAGACCTCAGAGAGGGGACTGGAGGCCTCCCTCCTCTACCACAGCTGTCCCCAGGAGAGCCTGTCCAGAGCAGGGAGGAAGGGAGCTCAGACTCCAGCCACAGCGCAGGGGGCTCTCATTCCCTCGTGGTGGCCTGCCCAGGAAGTGCACCCACTTCACCTTGACCTCCTCAGGCTCCAGGAGGTCGAGGACGCGTCCGATGGAGAAACCATGTGGTGAGGCCAGGCAGGCCTGGGCTCTGGCAGCTGGTCCCCAGGTGTGGGCGGGACTAGGGAGCAGCTCTCGAGACCCCTGAGCTGGCCTGGCCCATCGAGCTCCCGGAGAAGCTCAGAGGCCACCCAACCCAGAGGCCCAGCAGAGAAGGGGGGTCTCAGGGCAGGCACGAGGCCAGAAGGGTCTGTCGGTCTGGGAATAGCGTCTGTCTTCATCCCGGGAGCTGGGCAGCAGCTTGCCCACCTCTTCCCTCTGCTCCTGTACTTCTGTCCATCGTGGATGCCCAAACACAGAATAACACAGAACCTGGGCCAGGCAGGCTGATCCCCCCACCTAGCTGCACCAACGTGGGCCCCACGGCAGCTGGTGTCTTACGGCCCAGTGATGGGTTCGTACACACGGGACAAGCTCTGGACCCCCAGGACAGCTCCCCCACCGCGCCTGGGCGTCCTGTCCGTCTCTGACCGCGGCCCTCATTTGGTCGCGAGGCAGAGAGCTGATTTGAACTTACTGCTGGGGGGCTGGTGCTGCAGCATAGCCGGCAAAACCCCACCTGTGACACTGGTATCCCCTGTGGGAGCTGGTTCGAGTCCCAGCTGCTCCACTTCCTGGTCCAGCTCCCTGCTGATGGCCTGGGAAAGATGAACGACGGACCAGTGTTGCTCCCCCTCTTTGTGGAGGAACGACACAGGACCCTGCGCTGTTCTTTTGTCTGCTCGGCCCTCCCCGGGTTTGCTGCTGGTTCTTCCCGGGTTGGCTACCGTCCCTTCCACCTCCGTGGAAGGGCAGTTCCCCCTGGCCACTTTCCCCACTTCCGCAGGGGAGCGGCACACCGCCTGCCGGCTCTCTCGGGGGCTGCACAGGTGTTCCCTCAGATGTTCCTGGTGCATGTTGTCTCTCTCCTCCTTTATAGTCCTCTTCCACCAATCCCAACTCTGCTACCCACACGCCGAGTACGCTGCTCTCCTCCAATCAGGAGCAGGTCCTACAGTTTATTGGTTGAACTGGAGGCAGCTGTGTAGAAGCTGTTTCCTCCTCTCCCAGCGCCATATTGTGGGAGAGCAGATGCATAGAATAAGTCTTAATTTGAGTAACTTAGTCTAGTCCGAGTTGCTCCCCACAGATCCCCCTTTCTTTTTATTTTTGGCGTTGATACGCGCCTGTCTTCGGTGCCCCACAGCACACACACTGCTCTGCTTGCTATAGTTGCCCTCAGGTGCTTACCAGCCCTACCAATCAGGCAAACCGAATCCGGGTCCTCTCTTCGCCATGTTGTGAGGAGGTTTTTAGGCGCTGATGCATGCCTGTGTTCGGTGCCCTGCAGCGCATGCTCTGCTCTGCTAGAACTGCCTGCAGGTGCTTACAAGTCCTACCAATCAGGCAAACCGAATCCAAGCCTTCTCATTGCCGTATTGTGGGGAGACTTATTGGTGTTGATAATGTGCCTGTCTTCGGTGACCTGCAGCGGGTAAGCTACTAGCCGCCAGCAGGTGCTTATCGTCTTACTAATCAGGCAGACCGAATCCAAGCCCTCTCATTGCCGTGTTGTGGGGAGGCCTTATTTTTCTCTACCTCCGGGCATTCCTATCTCTCCTATTTTACTTCTATCTGCCAGCATTCCTATTTCTCTCATTTTACTTCTAAACTTCTATTTCTCTTATCCCCGCGGCTTCCCGGCGCCCGCCCCGAGGCTGCTTCTCAGCGCCTCGCCCCGCAGCGGCTTCCTGGTTCTGCGCGGCTTCCCGGCTTCGCGCGCTCTGCGGTCTCCATGCCCTTTGCGCCCGCACCACGGCCTCCGCGCTAGCCCCGCGTTCCCTATCTACTTGCGCCTCGTGCACTCTCCCCGTTCGTGCCCCGCGCGCTCTCTCTGCACGCGGCGGCTTCCGCGAGTCACACAGCCTAGCTCACGTTTCCACCACCGGTATTCAGTCTAAGTTCCCCGGGCTAATCTGGCGAATTCAACCTGGCTCACGTCTCTGCTTTGGTTTGGCTTCCCGTCTTTTGCTCCCCGGGCTAATCTGACGGATTCCAACCTAGCTTACGCGTCTTCGCCTCTGGTTTTAGCTTTTCGCCTTTTGCTCCCCGGGCTGACTTGACGAATCCCAAGCTAGCTTACGTCTCCACCTC